AGTGTGAAGTACACTCAAAATAAATTTAACCCTAAATTTTAGAAAATCGCCCTAAAAATTTCTTTTTTCTAAATACAAGAAAGTTATTTCTAAATCTAAGGAAATTTTTCTTAAGTCAAGATTTAAGTTTTTCTCAAATCTAGGAAGTTTTTTTTAAATGTAGAAAATGGTTACCATGAACTAAAATCACCCTAAAATCTAGAAAAAATGTCCTAAACTTTAGAAATTATTTTCTGAAAAATAGAAAGGCAAACGAAAATAATAAAATATTTTGGCAACACCTTTTCTAAAAATTAGTGCCCTAACCCTAAAATGAAACCAACCCTAAATAATAGAAACATTTTCTAAAAAGTAGAAATTTTTTCTAAAAAATAGAAATATTTGTTTTCACATGCTCTGGGACACCAAAATGTTCAATGCCAGAACTTGTCAACTGCCGGCCGGCTGTACCCGTGGTGCAGACGGTTAAAGCACTTGGTTAGCAATCGAATCGACGCGGGTTCGAGTCCCAGAGCAAATTTTTTTTACCTTTTTTTTTTAATTTTTTTTAATGTTATTTTATTTTTCTTTTTATTTATTTTTTTACTTTTTTTTATTCGTTTTTTTATTGATGGCAAGCGGTAAACTGAAAATAATTAGGTTTATATTCAGCTATTTACTATATACTACACATAATATAAATTGCGTTAGCATAAATATATACATATGTATATACGTATGTAAATAAGTAAAACGCGAATGGTCAAAATTATGCAATTAGTATTCAAATGTGTTGTCCGCTTCACCCTTTACATACAATGCTCGGTTTGCCACAACAAATTTATGTGCTACAATGGCCCAGTATGTAGGCCGTTCGCTCCTCGCGCGGGAGACCCGGGTTCGATTCTCACGACGGACAAGTAAAAATTGTAAGTTTTTTTCATGAAGATAAAATATTAACTAATCATAATTTATACATTCCCCCATTCCCCCGCAGTCCCGTAGTCCCGTAGTCCACATTTACAACCACATTTGGCTTTGGTTACATAAGAAATCCAAGTGCAAATACATAATAATAAATACATAACCTTTAACATTCACAATATACAAGACACACAACGCCTGCATATGTACATAGGGAGGAGTACATAATATAAACGTATATACAAAAAAAATCATGATTGAACATGTTTTTTTGTTTTGTTTTTAATTTCTAATTTTTAGGAAAATTTCCTACTTTTTAGAAATTTTTGCCCTTAAATTTAGTAAAATTACCCTAAAATTTAGAAATATGACGTCAAAAAAAAATCAAAAATATAGAAAAATGTGACCCTAAAATTTAGGGCTAGCTTGTCTTGAAGACAAAAGTAGGGCGATTTCCTTGACTTTAGGGTTAATTTTATTTTGAGTGTATATAATCCTCTTAAGGTGATTTTGCTTCAATAAAGTACTTTTGTGAGGAAAGGAGTATATGCCGAAAATGGATGACTATGAAGTGGTTCTCTAGATTTCCCTCCCCCACAATAAAATCCTAGATCCGCCACTGCCACCGACTCTTCTAAAAAACTGACTTTGTAATGTACTTGTGTTGTGTTCAGTTGATTTCTCTTTATTGAGGCTGTGCTTTGAGAGAAGAGCTTTGTGGCCGTCGAATGGTGTTATTGATTTTGTTCGAACAGGGAAAAGACAGGAAGTTGGTGAAGTGTGGAAAAGCTGCATATGTGAATATGCATATGTATTTGCTAATGAATTATCATTTATGGCACATCGTCTGTCCATCTCTTTTTCGCTATCGATATTTTTTCTCGCCATTGAGATTGTTTTTGTGCAAGCGCAGGTGAGGACCCTTTTATGTCGCTTCAGGAAAAGATAATTGCATTTTTACTCAATTTGGCGGAATAATTTACTAACGAAGTTTCGACTTGCAAAAGGGAAGACTTTTCATATTTTCTGTTCATAATTCTGTTAATAATGGTCAATACAGTTCATCATGCATTTCTAATGCTTTTCAATGATGATTACTAGATGAAAGTTTATCATCAAACCAATTGTTTGAATTGTAGAGATATGTCTGTCTTAAATCACAAAACAACGATAAAATACCAAATTAAATAAAAACGAACATGAACAAGCATTTCAAACCCAACCATGCCTTATATACGCCCGCCCTCATAAAACATGCAATTAACTGTACATGAGGGAAAACAATGAACATTAGGTTGGATGGTTTGATATTAGCTGGTGGGTGTGAGCGGTTTATTTGAAATGGCTGAGAAGCGGCTAAAGCATGAAACAAAATCGACAGCAGAGCCCAGCTACTATATTTTGCGGAAATTGTTGGTTTGTAATTTGAATTTGCGCCATTTGCATTCAATGTGCCGCTCGCAAATGAGACACAATGAGTGTGTGTCCTGCGACCCAAGCACACAATGTCCATGCACTGAAAAGAATTCTCCTTTATAGCATTAAAGAAGAAAATGCTTTGACTCACTTAAATTTTAATCAATTATTTAAAAATATCTCTATTTTAAAACAAGTATTTTTTATTTATTTTCAGAAATCTTTGATCAGATTTGTACCAATCAGGTATGTAAAAACCAATCTTCATTCAAAATGCCACAGGACTATCTTATATAACATAAACTGAATCCACTTGGTTTATAAATTTTCTATACCTATGTTTTTAACAATTCTTCATTTCTTTCCTTTATTACTTTAACATCCTTTGCCATGGGGTATCCTTTAATTTCTCTGAGTGGCTCAGTTGCTGTGTGTAAGTTGGTGTGCGTTTATTAGCTTTTGTAACGGTCCCAGGACGTACTTCTTCTGACACGCAACCAACAGCGATGCTCGGCGTCTCCAAACGGAAAGCGGATGTCGTCGGCAATATTTTCTTGGCAAGTTTTCCACCCACCCACTCCATCCAAACGACCCTTGGTAGCCCCCCCATGTTTTCAGTCCCCCGCTAGTTGAAACTTGTAGCAAACTTGGGCTATATCTTTAAGTCAATGAGCTTTTTTTTTTGCGTATGTATGAGCTGGTGGTGGGGGTGCCGATGAAGTTTGTTTACTGTGTTTGTGAGAAAATAAAGTTGCCCGACTTTTGCCTTCCCGATTCTGGGCCAAAAGTGTATTAAGTATGTGGTATATGAGTGGGCCAAGAAGGAGATGTCTTGGGCTTGATAGGCATAAAGTATGTTTTCCTGCGTCCCTACTTATCTCCCTCTTTCAGTTTTAGTCACTTTAAGAGGATTTCTCTATAAGTAGGTGAAAGTTATGTTAACGTTTCGGTTCTTTATGTACGTTTTGGGTGATTATGGTCTAAAAGTGGCGAGGATTTCAGCTGGAAAATGATTAAAAAGTTTGTCCCGCCTTGAAAAAGAAGGTCCAACAAAACAATTAACAGAAACATAATAATGTAAACAATAAACTAATTGCAGTTAAACTTCTTTAAACTAATTTTATTGGCAACAGAGAGTGTAAATGTTCATAAAATGCATTCTATAACTCGAAGGTCGTTATAACTTACCCGAAGGATACCTTTCTCTTAAGCCTTCAGTTCACATTTATTTTCAACATCCCAAAAGGCAATAAATTGAAGCGAACATAAATATTTACGATGGGGAGGGCTATGTGTGGTATACAACCTTTTTCATTAAAGGAACCTAGCCTTTAAAGAAATCAGGAAAAGGCAGGCGAACATTTCCACATCCCAATGGCGTGCAGTTAATGAGCGCTGCCCTCATCAGCCACCCACCGCTTATCGATACTTTTCTCTTCCGCTCGGTGGTTTTCCGTTGGGCGAAGAACGCGTGCATTTAATATGTTCAGTTAGTTAAATGAGCCAAATTAATAGTGCACGTGTTGTGAATTGAGAGAGAAAGGCGTAGAATGGGCAAGGATATGACTTAAAGGTAACATAAAATTAACAACAGTTTTTAAATTTTAATGATATACAAGGGATCGAGTCCTTTATTTTATATTCCAACCTTAAACGTCTGCCAGAAACCACGCCTCTCTTAAAACGACAGAAATTAACCAAGCATCTTTATGTCTCTGTGTTCGGAACCACAAAATTCCAGAGTACGAAAATATTTGCCAAAGTGCTCAGGTATACAGTCAAAATTTACACAGAAAACGTAGTGCTAATTGTGCACTGCGGTTTGCACCTGCTGTCACTTGCTTTTACATTTGGTATATTGCGGTTTACTACTGAAAATGTTCGAAAGCTAACAAAAACCTTGCCATTCTCCAGAAATTGCAAAAACCAACCCTAAAATTTTGCTGAATTATCTTTAAATGTCATGAAAATCTTAATTTATATACCTTAATCTCTATATATATATAATCTTTAGCACTAAGGATCCCTTTTGTTAATAATTATCTTTATTGGCTTTCTTAACGTAGAGATTATGAACAAAATTTAACAACAATTTGATGACAACGGTGTCTATACAATGGAATTGTCCACATGCTTAATTAAAGTTTTTTTTTGTGTGATGAATTATCAAACTGATTGATTCGCTTTTAGAAATATCCCATGCGTTTATTCATAATGAATTAATAAGGGAAAATCCAGAGGAGTGGGTATGACAAATGTGTAATTATTTTCCACATTGCTTTAGGCATGTCAAGATGTGCTACGTTTTATATGGTTTCTCTGTCCCTTTCGAAACTAATTTTCTTGTGTCGTTACTAGGATATTAGTTTACCAATTTACCTGTGTAGATAATGATTAATATTGGTTTTCTTTCTGCCTTGAATTTCTATTTAATTAAAGCCAGCAGAAGCAGAGCAAACAATGACTTGTGGAAATTTTGTTCTTTTGTGAGTGATTTGTGTCGACCGTTGTTGTATACTGTGTGTGTTGGCAGAGCGGCGGCAAATAAATTTGTATTACATGTTATCGGGTAACTTTACCTGAAACCTGACATGATTTTACCTTCTAGGTTACATAACTAATAAACGAAGGATTTTTTCCTGAATTTTATACATTTGTGTCAGAGAATTTTAAATCGAACTTTGGCCCTTAACAGCACATGATTTTATTTTCATAGTTATTTTGAAGTTTTAGTATTACACACATATACAACGCCGAAACAAAAACATATTTCGACAGGCACGTTGATATTTGCATATAAACCCTCCTCATCTTTCGAAAATGGGAAACGTGATGGCGTCCACCGAAGGCGGAGGCTCCACTCGTGGGCGTGGCAATGTCTCCTCCGGATTACGCTTGCCAGAAGCAGCGTCTACAGTTCCCTCCACCGAAATGCCGCCACAGATGCTGAAGGAGTTGGAAGCGGAGGCTCGCAGAACGGAGCTGACAAATCCCGGAACCGTGGAGGAGCTGCACAGTCGCTGTCGCGACATTCAGGCGAACACTTTCGAGGGCGCCAAGATCATGCTGAACAAGGGGCTGAGTAACCACTTCCAAGTGACGCACACCATCAACATGAACTCGTCGGCGCCCAGTGGCTATCGCTTTGGAGCCACGTATGTGGGAACCAAGCAATACGGTCCCAATGAGGCCTTTCCAGTTCTCCTCGGTGAAATCGATCCTTTGGGCAATCTCAACGCCAACGTGATCCATCAGCTGACCTCTCGACTGAGATGTAAGTTTGCCTCGCAGTTCCAGGACTCCAAGTTGGTGGCTACCCAGCTGACGGGGGACTATCGCGGCAAAGACTATACAATATCCCTGACCCTGGGCAACCCGGGCATCCTGACGGGTTCCGGAGTGATTGTTTGCCAGTACTTGCAGTCAGTCAGCCGGAAATTAGCCCTCGGATCGGAGTTGGCCTACCAATACGGACCCAATGTTCCTGGACGCCAAGTGGCTGTGTTATCGGCGGTGGGTCGCTATGCCGCCGGTGATTCCGTGTGGGCCTGCACTTTGGGACCCGGTGGCTTCCATCTCAGCTACTACCAGAAGGCCAGTGATCAGCTGCAGATCGGAGTCGAGGTGGAGACGAATCTGCGCCTGCAAGAATCAACGGCCACTGTGGCCTATCAGGTGGATCTTCCCAAGGCGGATCTGGTGTTCCGCGGCAGTCTCGACTCGAACTGGCACATTGCCGGCGTCCTCGAGAAACGCCTGCAACCACTGCCCTTTTCGTTGGCCATCAGCGGTCGCATGAATCACCTGAAAAACACCTTTCGACTGGGCTGCGGACTCATGATCGGATGAATCGAATCGATTGAAATATCCAGCGTATGACAAGATAGCAAGCCTATCAATTGTTTAAATAACTTGCAAATAGGAATTTGAAGTGTTTGCACAAGAAACGCAAGGAACGCCGATTTAATTTGACTTACGGAGTTTAAAAACGAAAGATAAAGAACCTTAAATGTTCATTATGCTAGACCAAGATACGCAGAGGACGTAAGCATTGAATTATTTGGTCAACATTTTGATGTGCCACGTCAGCAAAAAAGATCAGAAGGTCTTTTAAAAATTAACTACGTATTGTGACTAGGGATATCAAACATAAATTGTTTTGTTTGTTAAAAATGCTTTAAAATTAAAAAATTACATAAGTAAAATCTTTATCCAAAAATATGAAATTTTTATAGTCATTTTAAGTTAAAAGGTGCCAAGACTTAAACAAATATTGCAACAAAAAGTGACGCTATCGACTATCAGATACCCATTACTTTGTTTGGCACTCCATCAAGGCTGCTCCCTTTGCTTTTTAAGAGCTGCATTGTAGGTCGCATTACCCTCTAGCCTCATCCCTTAGGGCCGCCCACAATCAAGGTCAGTTCAAAATGGTGTCGGTGCCCAAATACAAAGCGCCAAATGGCGTGTACATCGCATACATTAGCATTCCACTCGCTTTCCAGCTAGCGCCACCAATCCTTTCCACCCAATTCATTCCCCTTTTTGCGCTATTCAAAAAGTTAAGCGCATTTTGCGATTTGCCAAACCCTTGAAAAAAGTGCTGAAAGCTTCAACTATTTTGGGAGAATTTTATTGGCAGATTGAATGTTAGAACTATAAATCCTTTCAATCTTATTAAGAAGAAAATAAAAATAGCCGTAACCGTAAAAACACATTTCAGAAATAAAGAATGTTTGGTTTATACAAATAGTTTTATCCTTGGCATTTAAATAATCATTTAAACTTTCTACGCAGAAACAATTTTTAAAAACCAAGGATCTAATCACAAAAGATTTTACTTCAACCTAGAGCCTTGACTATATAGTTGTTACTAGTTGTTTAACCAATAATAAAGCGTGTCGTATGAGTATTTTTATCCTTAATGCACACATTTTTTGTTTTTGCATAAGGTAACTTGACACAGAAACCTATAATTTTCGATGCTGAGCTTCTTTGACCTTATACAATGCAATGTATTGCTTTAATTTTGTTCTCTTAATACTTGATGCATCTCTTTAGGAACACACTTTATAAGAACCCCAGAAATGAAAAGTATGATGCTGCAAATCACTAAGTCGACAAGTGCATAAGACATATTAATTAAAAGTTCAGGGAATAAAACAATTAGGCTCGAATCAATAAGTTATTTTCTTTCGCTTCGAGGTTAATTGAAAAGCTTAGTTATATTATGAAATACTCTGGCGAGGTTAAAGCTCATTGCGGTGTCAGAGATAACATTTTGACCTCGTACAATACAATATGACAGAGTGTGAGATGCCACCGGTGGTGATGATATGGAATTGAATAGAAGTGAAATCGAGATGACCGACTACCTTATGTAGATTCCATCCCCCGATATACACACATACATATGTACGTACGCACTTTGTTTACTTGCCTTTGCGTGTCCATGTGGCGCCTTGAGCTGTCTACTCTCCATTCCTTTCAAATTTACATATTCTTGCTATCATCAATTAAGATGTTCGCAGACTGGAAAAGCAATGCACCCGATTTATTAAGAACTGTTCACTATGAAAAAAATATTTTATAAAACTTATCCAAAAGGAAATAAATATAAGAAATTAGCATCTGATGAAGGTCGACTTTCAGTTTCCTTTTATTCTATAAACGATTTGAAAAAAATAAATTCCTCCAGATGGCGGCACTCTGAATCTATAGTAATTGAAAAAGTGTCATATTAGACAGCATTCGGAATATATACTAATGTATTCTTTATTTTGGATTTTGTTAAATTAATCCTATTTTCATGAATTTAATTATGACGCCTACTTAATGTTGTCCCAGTATTATTACCAGATTTTTACCAATTGATTAATGGCGTCTTATGCTAAAGCAATAAATTGCAAAGCAATAGGCGAAAGGTAAACAAATCCATTATAATTTATGCACCTCTCATCTCAATTTATTTGTGGTGGAAGTTCCACCGCCGCGGCCTTCACATAGAAACAAACCCCAAATGGAAAATGGCAAACGAACAGCAGCATAAATAATAAAAACAAAACGCGGTAAAATAGATGCCCAAAATACAAAAAAAAATAGAGTCGCAACCAACGGAGCGCAGATGTGACGACGTTGATAAAAGTTCAAAACAATCGAAAGAGGCCAAAAGAAAAGGCAAAATATACAGAAAAAAGTTATACGAGCTTGGCTTCTATGTTGAATTACTGCTCTATATGCTGCTACCACTTCTATCTTTCTTATTCACAGTCCGCCCTTTTTGCGCACTGGCTTTAATTCAATAAACATCGAGTTCATAACAGATTTATGGTAGCTAAAGTTAATTGGCTAAATTAATTTGGAGGTGCAAGATATCAAGATAGCCTTTCTACTCATCTCCTGATAAATTTCGAGGTACATTCATAAGTTGGACGGTCTGGTAAATTATTGACCCCAATCACGTGCTTCAGTATATGTGGAAATGGGGGCGGGTGAAGGGTTAGATAGAAGAGGAAAGGTGTGTTAAGGTCAATCGAATTGGTAACTGCACTTACACCTGGCGAAAACCCGTATTTTTCTACACTCATTATTATATTTTAAGTGAGACCATACCAAGTGAAATAATCAAATATATCACGTTGGTAACACTAAATTTTTAATGTAGATATTATTTGCTTATTCTAATCTTATACTCTCATAAAAAGATAAAAATATTTTTCCACATGTATCCTCCTCTTGTTGTTAAATTAAAGACCATTTTTACGATCCATTCATGGCTCGTTCCAGCCAAGTGCAAAGCAAGCCACTAGAATGATTTTAGCCGATCTGGCATAATATGAAGAAGGTGCACAAAACGCGAAAGCTGTGATTGTAGTTGGAATGGCTCTAAAAGTCTAACCTTTTGTTGCCAACTCTTCCTAATTTCCGCTCATCCCTCTTTTTGAGACCTCGTTTAATAGAGCGTGAACAACAATTCGCTCGCTGATGCGTTTCTGATTTTAGTGCTTTGTGCTTGTCTGTCTTTGCAATCGTCCCTCGATTTCCCATTCATGCCGTTCATCGCTAATATTAGTACCTGCATTTTCAACGATTTCAATTTGGTTTCCATTTAACCCCGAAAATTGAACCATGCCATTTTCGCCCTCAGCCAACTTGCCGCTCCGCAATCGCTTTTCAGAGCAATTTGCATGTGCACTATAAATTTTAACGAATTCATTTGTTTGTGAAACGTGTCCAGACAGAGCAGACTTGCAAAAAGGGGAGGAGGTTGTGGGCAGCTTGGGGCCCGGCAGCATTATCAGAATTTAGGAGGGGGAAAAGTGGGGACAATATACGTACATACCCAGCATAGAATTTGCGGCCAACAATTGTATTTGCGATTGTTGACACAATTGAGCGTTGTATTTATTATGTGTTTTTCTTTTTTCACACCCACACACCCTCTTTCCCATTTCCACTTTTTGTTTTGTTTATTTGTCACATTTTTTTCATTTCTCGCATTTATTTGCGCTAAAATTGGCATGTTTGCTGCTTTGTTGTTGCGCTGAGGGGAAAAAATATAAACATTTTCAACATATTGTTGAACATATTCAAATTGTTGTCGTTTTTTTGTAAGGAAATGTATTTGTGATTGAGATTTTATTGTCGTAAAATATTTTAGTATCATCTGCACGAATTTTCATTTATTTATTTGTTTAGCCATGCGTAAAAATATTTTTGATCACACTTAGAAAAATTAAAATTTTAACAGAACTTCCTAACCATAATAAAATCGATATCGATATTTCGGCAAACCAACTTTTTATCTTTTCTAAGAAAATCACTTGTAATATACTCGTAAATTTTCTTGTACTCTTCAAGGTTCTTTCTTTATCAAACGCTTCTATGTACTTATTTTTTCACTTATTTGGCTTGCTATACACTACACCCATTATAAGCACCTTAGAACTCAGTTAAGCAGAAGACGAGAAGCAAGAAAAACAGAAAGGGAGGGAAGGGAACTCTGTTGAGGAAAAACAATTTTCAGTTTGACCTTCATCCCCAAGTTGAGCAGAAAAATAGAAAAGCGAATTTACGTGCAACACAAACAAGATTTGACTGAACTGGTTTATACATTTTATTCGAAGCAAAATTGACTTGGCCATTTATTAGGTAAAAGGCAATTTTACTCTCAAAATCTTTGAAACGTATTTAATCTTTAATTTACTCTGAATAACAAAATTGAATGAAAGATTGTTTAGCTTTAAGATTAAGTTCAGTCTGTTGAACTTGTTAAAATAGTTTATTTTATCCATAAAGTAATTTTGTGATTCCAATTTAAACGGATGAAAAACTAATCTACAAACTGACCGAAGTAGAAAGAAAATCAAAACAGCTTTTTTCTATTTGGAGCAGCCAAAATAAAGAAAAACACAACAGCAAACCCAACGAAAGCCAAAAACTCTTGCTGAAAGAAAAATAAAAAACACAAAACTACACACACACATTTGAACCACCAACCAGCGAGCATTGAAAAGTTGACCAGCCAACGTCTCATTTCAATGCATTGAAGAGAAGATAGTACCTGGCATGTTTGCCCGTTGTTGGCCTCGAAATGCAACAGAAATAAATCACACAAAAAGCTGAAAAAGAAGCAGTGGCAGTGGAAACAGCCAGTGGGGTAACAGCATAAACTGGAAAGCTGTAGAAAATACCAGTACGGTACCAACTTGGGAAATATTACGCAAAAATAAAAAAAAAACAAAAATCAGGAAGTTCCATTTTAATTGCTTCCATAGCGAAATTGTGGAAATTTAATACTCAGAAAACCGAACTTTAATCTATGAAGTTTGTGGTTTTTATTTTATGGTTTTTATTTTGTAAAAGGATGTTATCAGTAATAACGCGAACTTCTTTAGGAGCTTTAATATATACAGACAGCAATTGCAACAAATATGCCTATGAATAAATAATTTCCGACTCAAAGAAACCATTTGGAAAATATAATCCAATTTCTGACTTCGCTTTTCACCAA